GCTTGTTCAAAGTACACAAACTCTTCTTACAGATGATCACGAATTTTTCAAAAAGACATAAATTACATTTGTTAGTAATGTTGCTATAAGGTCTGCACTTCCTCTGATATAAATCCATGCCATTCCTTATTTCAGTTTTGATCGGGATCATTTGCGGTCCGATATGGGGATCATTTCCAGTCCGGGATCATTTGCGGTTCAATTTGGGGATCATTTGCGGTCCGGGATCATTTGCGGTCCTGGGATCATTTGCGGACCCGTACAGTACCCTGCTAGCAGAGGTTTCTTTCTAGCAAGTCTTTTAGCATGTACGAAGTCGTTCAAGTCTCTTGTTTTTCGCGTAGTTGGCTTGTTTACTTCCCCGAGAAAAAATGAGCCTGAAGTCGAAAGATGGCTGCCGGAGGTCTTTCTCGTTTATATTTCAACGAAGCAGTCCAGAAGGCTTTAAAAGCTCATGAGAATTGTACGATCGAGTCTCTAACTCATCAGTCGAAAGCGATATATATAGATATATATAGATAAAGATACCTTCGTAATTTCTTCCCGCGTAAATAAAGAGGCGGGGAAACATCGTGTCAGGTGAGATTTACGTCATAATTTCTATAGTAACTTGATTACGATCTAGCGCATGCTCAAACGCGGGAAATGACGTAGCAGAGGTTTCTCTCGGCGAAGTAAACNGGCTGCGGCATCGCGTCAGGTGAGATTTACGTCATAATTCCTATAGTAACTTGATTACGATCTAGCGCATGCTCAAACGCGGGAAATGACGTAGCAGAGGTTTCTCTCGGCGAAGTAAACAAGCCGAGTTCGTCAAATACAAGAGACGCGGACGACTTCGTACATGCGAAAAGACTTGACAGAAAGAAACCTGTGCTAGCACGGTAAGGATGCAGTGTCCTACATCGACCGTAAGCGACAACAGCGACCTTGAAGAAGATAACAGACAAATCCAAGGTAAATTATTCATGGCTATCAGATGTTAATATTTCATTCCTTCCTAAGTCGTGTTCCATTTGAATTGCCTGATTTCACCAAACCTACATGCAACGTATGGTTCCGATTCTTCATCGAACGATGCTGTTTTCTAAGGCGCTTTTACATCATTTCTCTTAATTCAGCATTGAAAGTTACCATACTTGAGATGCACGGTTTGGCGAACGAGTCATTTAGCTAAAACTTTCTGTTCATGCAGAGTATCTTAAACTGGATGCTTACGAATTTTATAACGTTAGTTCGCATCATTTTTTGAAATCAAATGGGAACTTCCATGGTCATGCTGAACTATTCCTTGTTTTAGTACCTGGCCTTTGAAAAGTGAAAAGTTTAGAGTGAAAAAGCAAGTTATATTTCCGTGTTTTTCGTCATATCGAGCCGTTCCCGTCATTTATTTTGAGCTTTCCGTAGTAAACAGATGTGTAGAAACGATCATGGTCTGCGAACTAAAATAGTCTACAACGGAAGATGAATAGATAGCTTGCTTGACAGGACATAGGCTGCGAGCAGTCTCTCTTATGGTCTAAAATCCGCGGGGAAGATGCAAAAAACTCAGTGTACGTGCGAGCAAGCACGATCAGGAGGGAGAGATCAACTTGGCCATCGTGACATCACGGTGAGCGAAGCGTGAATACGCTCGACGTTTTGACCCTCTGCAAGGTACAAATTCTTTCGAGTGGGAGTCATCTTTCATTGTAGCTTCAAATGGTTGTGTGTTTGCATGCAAACCTGTAGGGAAATATTTAAATGCCACTTTGTCGTTTTTAACTCGTGAATTGCGCATGCGCAACACGAGTTATCGTGACTAAAGGGTAAATGCGGGCGCTCGATCGCTCGATGGGCTGAAAAAACTATGCAAATGAGGTACCCTAGCGGCTTACTTTCAAATTGCTGTCTATCTTTAACCAAAACAAGCCGTTTTAAAGGTCCAAAATTAAAAGATATACGTTTAAAGAAGACTCGGCCACCGAAAATGAGAATATCGAGAATCGTAAAATCGATCAAGCAGCATAGTAAGTTGTCACTCGATGTGGATTTTACGGAAATGGAACTCGTTGAAGTACGGTTATGGTACGGTAAATGCCTATATAGCGAGCGAAGTGATATAGACGCAAAGCAATTATTTATTGTATCGCTAAAAACAACAAAAAAAGGAAGGAAAAAAAATTAAAATTAGAAGTTATCTTCCACCCGGAGTCGATCGCGGGTTCACTTCCCACTGTGCTATGTCAACTCATGGTTGAGCGAGGAAAAAGCAAAGATTAATACAATTAATTGAACCGCTGATAACAAAGCGTACGACGAAATTGGCTGCTGTCCTTCACCGAACTACTGTCAGTGAGTATATTTGGTACTTGTGGATTTTTCAGACGCTCGACGTGCCTTTTTTTAAACTTAGAGCTCAAAATGTGTCCATTCGTCGGCAAATGGAGTCACAAGGTTTGTTTTGAGGGAAGGTCTTCATGACTCGTTTTGCACCGGGGCTTTTCGAAGCTGCAAACAGCACAGGTAAGCTAAAACAAGATGTTTTGTTATAGTAGCTTGGTTTCGAAGAAATCGGGGTGAATCAACGCGTAGTAGTTGCAGGATAAATTATTCGTCGAGATCACCGACTGGATCAGGAAAAAGTTTAACATTCCACATTGCGCCGTTTTTGGTGGACTTTTTTAAACATGGTGAAAGAGAAGTTGTTGCGACATTGTTGATTTCCTTGATGAAAGACCGAGTGTCCAGTCTTAACAAGAAAGGAGTCAAAGCTGTAGTTTTTAGGCCAGAAATTTCTGACACGGAAACTAAAGACGCTTCCTCGTGTTTACAAGTTGGTGCGCTTTCAAGTGAATTTTGAATACAGATCGCGGATTTAAAGCAGCTTCTTGGACTTAAGAACACAAAAATGGTAATGTACAGTATTACTTTGAAGCTGAATTCAACTTTTAGAACAACTGGTAACGCCACGGCCGATAAAATGACTGCAAAAGTTGTGGGCAAAAACTCAAGCTTTCGCTTCAGCGTGAACAATTAATTTAAATGTGTTGTCATGCACCGAAGCACGTCGGCGAAATTTCGAACAGTTCTTTGCTTTTAGATTTTTTTACCTCATCGTGAATGAAATTTTATTGTTATTGAACTTCCTGTCATGTTTCTTTCATTTGGTCGCCTTTATTCGGGAATTTTCGGTTTTAAAAGTGAACAGTGTTTTTACACCGTGGATTTCTGCATATTTAATTTACGGCGACCTCCGCGGTTTGTTTGTTTACTCTTTTAGCTTCGTTCAGATATATTTTTTGAGTTTTATTCAGCCACTACAAAACTCCTGAGAAAAGAAATAAGTGGGCACTAATTTAACACAGTTGAAATACGATTTATCTCAAAATAATTGGCTTGTTTTTGTCGTCTTTTTTATTTACAACTTTCATATTTCGCTGCGCTGTATTATTTGTCGCGCGCGAAGAAGTTATCAGATTTCTTGTTTTTAAATTGGTTTTTAGATGTGTCTTTTCGCTTTTATTTTCCAGTGTTTTCTCAAATGTTATCCATTATAGTAGAAGACTGGAAATTCTGTTGTATTCGGTTATGTTTTGTCCTCCAAAGTCAATGACTCATTTTTGCATGTTCAATTTTCTCGGCTTTTGTCGCGCGGCAAAGAAAAAATAGTACGCTGGACAAAACTGTTCTGGATCGACGTTTAACAACAAAAAATAAAACAAACAAAGTGACACATTTTAATTTTGTGATTGTCTTAAACTTTACTAAATTCGTCACATGGAAACGTTTTTTTATATGGATCATGCGAGAAAGGCTTGCGTTACACCTTGTCTTAATTTGGTAACTGAGACACTAAAGTATGCATAATTACGTGATTTCTGAGAAAAAGAGTCACATTTGGAGTGTTGTTCTGCGAAGAAACTCTTAACATGCAAATGGATATTCTTGTCAAGATTTTGACACGAAAGCGTGAGAAAGACTTACAACTTATTCGGTCACTGAAATACGATACCGTCTCAGAAACTGATCTTCTTTGAAGTCTTTAGATTGTTCTCGCCGCTAAATCGGTCTTTCAACTGTTTTGGAAATGGCTGCCTTTAGCTCGCGCTTCGTACAAGCCACAATCTGCACAAGATACTGCTGTGTGTTAAAGCGTCATCGGCCAAGAACCTCAGACAATGCTATTTGCGTTTTTAGAAACGTTTCCGGACCTGTTTCTGGGCTCATCTACCAGGAGCTTGCCATTTTCTCGCATTTTCTTGCATAACAGCTCGAGATTGTTTGGTTTGCCTTGTGGCCCTTCAGTGGTAGCATCACAACTTGAATCTTCGATTCTCTAAACCGCTGATGTATCACAGGATAGTGCTGTTTAGAAGGATTATCGCTCCTTCCTTATGCATCTTGTCGAATTCATGAAAAAAATACACAAACATTGTTCGCTCAGCAACACTGGTCTAACACTACACATTGTTACGACCACGAAGCGGGACTCCGATTTGTTTATCACGAGTATGATTACAGACTGAATTGGATGACACAATGTCCTGTTGCCAATTAATCATAGCAATTACAATTTCCCACAAAAGTAATTTAAGTTTCATTTGTAAAAGAGCTTTAACAGTCATTTTTAAATAATTAAATAATTAAAAATATGGAGAATAGCTTGCAAAATGGCTGTTAAGTTTCTTTCAAAACAGTAACCATGCACAGATTAAACCTCCACAATTTTACAAAGTCAGTTTGTTGAATTGATTACTATAGTGATTGTAATCAATGTTATCATTGGTGGATTTAGTGGAGAGGACTTAAAATGATTGGCTCATATAACTGTCCGATTACAGGTGTCCGATTACAGGCAACTGTCCGATTACACTGTCCAATTACAACTTTGCAGATTAATTAGAGCAAAATACAGCAGTTTATGCACTAATCACATTTGAGGAAATTGTAATTGTTATGATTAGAAGAAATATATCTGCAATCCTTTTGAATATTACTGCATTGCTAGTGAGATTAGTACAAACAATTACCAAGATATAAGAGAACAAAATACCGTGTTTCCAAGAAACAAAATTATTGTTATTTTATTTGCGTACACAACAATTTGTAGTACCCTTATTATTGTATTGCATCAAGCTGGGGGCTACCTTCTATAGTTGACTAAATTAAAAAGGTACACATTTTTTCAGGCTGGGATTAATAGCTGGTTTTCACATGACGTCACTAAAATTCAAACTACAAAACTATTGATCTTCCTGCGATTTTACTGTAATGATTTATAAGAGCATCTGAAAACTAATATTCATACCAATGTTCGCTCCGAATGGGTTCTTGGTTTTGTGATACACTACGCTTGAATTTCTAAGCATTTGCGTGA